GTGAAGCCTCTCAAAGCCTTTCATGATTCAGCAGCTGGCTCTCTGCTTTGGCTGAGCGTCCATGAAGATATCTGTCAGCTGTTCTTCACAGTGCGTTGGCACGCAGCCTGGGAGGAGATCTGCACCCGTGTTGCAGAAACCTCCTCATGCTGTCTGCAGTCACAGCCAATAGCTGGCAGGCTGGAGGCAGCGATAGTTGTTTGCAACCTCAAACATGTCCACTGTGCAGTGCCTGAAGTCTTTGCCATAAATGCCTCATGTCCTCGGTGTATTCATTCGACTGTGTTTAGCTTGTTCTTTGCTTCACCAGCTCTGAACGCAGCGTCACAAATCCTCAGCAAGAAGCCGACCTCCCGTTAGCCGAGGTTTATTTCTGCAGCCTGACAGATTTAGCAAATTGGTGCATTTGTTTATAAATCCCATCACGAATATTCCTCTAGGTCTGCCGTCTCTTTTAAACGCTCCACCGTGTGCACACTGAAGCCTCCTGTGGCTGCACGCTCAGGCAGTCCTTGGTGGCTCTTCCTCCGAGCCTGACAGCTGGGTACGGGAGGTGAGGGAGCTGCAGCGTATGCAGCCCGTGTACGAGTCCCTCTTGTTGTGCATGTAACAAATGGAAGTGAGGTAAAAAAAGACATGGGCTGTAGCTCAGGTGGTGTTTGATCCCTGGCTCCTCCAGTCTGCACGCATGATATCCTCAGACACGAAGCCTGAGCTGCTCTCCGAGGCATCGATCGCATGAATGTATCGGGACAAGTTCTCGTATGATGAATGCGTTGTATAAAATGCTTTGAGTGCTCAGGTAGAGTAGAAAAGCTCTATATAAGAACCATTTACCATTTAGCCAACAGGCCCGAGGAACCTGCCGGTCAGCCGAGGTCAGCCCTTAACCTGCCTTGATGCCTTCTTGCTTCCCTTGTTTACGTCTCCTTCGCTCATTCATGCTCATTGTCCTGTGTGAGCTACGTTCTGATGGATGTGGTCAGAGAGCAGCTCGGGGTTCGTATCTTGCCCAACGATATTATGCATGCAGACTGGAAATGAAATCTCAGGAAATGAGATTTATATCACGCAGAGGAAGATCAAGTGTATAGAGAAGTTCAAAGCCACGAGTTACTGCAGGGCACAGTGCTGAATCTCACCTCAGCCGTCACTCAACCAGTTCTGAAGTTGGACCAACGTGCAAATACTGATGCAGCATCCCTGCAATGCTCAGCCTCTAAAGTATCAGTGTCAGCTCAACCTAACATTAGTGAGCGATCCAGTGAGCAGCTGTCACATGGCTCGCTGTACGTTGGACGGCAAAGGTCACGACCACGATGGAAAAACAAGGCGGCAGGAGGCCAAGAGTCAGGATGGGCTCTGTGTGAGGAACCACACACCGAACAGGAGATCATATATCGAGGCCTGGTCACATGATCCCAATAACTTTGAGCTGCTGTAAATTTCAAAACCACAAAACAAAAAGTGATACACACTGGACAGATGGAGCATCAACATGTGATTACACTGCTGGTGGGAGAGGTTCGGGATGATTCCCACGCTGGTCTTAACTTCACCACTGCAGTCACACTCGTGACTTTCTATTTCACATAATCATATGAAGTGTATCCATGTCATCACAGCGCTGAGCTGCACTAATCATCGGCACATGTTTAACTGCAGCTGTGTACACCAGCAGTGACTGCAAACCACGTTTCACAACGGTGGGAACGCCACCAATCATCTCTACCATGTGACGCCGTGCTATCCCTGCACTGTGCAACACTACAGATACTCCAGTGCTGCTCCTCATGACTAAGATACTGATACTGCAAATGCAGCAGCCTACTTTATTGTAAACGAGTAAGCCGAGAAGAGCAGCTGAAAATATCAGATTTAAGCAGCTGATTGAAGTCACTGATCCTTCCTCCCTGTTCAGTCTGCAGAGAGCACGGGGCTGCTGAGGATGCAGATTCAGAGATATGGACCCAACAACAAGGAAATTAAAGAGCAAGAATTCAGAACTTGTAACAAAGTAAACAAACTTTGTTACTTCTGGTGGTCTGTAATGGTAACACAAAGCAGATGAAAGAAAATCAAACAAACAAGCTCAACACATTTTTCACAGATTTGTGAAATTCCACTAAAAACACGACTCTG